GGGAACAAACCATTCCAGTGAAACAGCTGGAATGCCGGGACCTGTGCGCTTGGACAGCAAGGCTTGGCCGTGGTCTCCTGGGCTGTGCCCAGGGCGCTGCTGGTTTTCAGCGTGGGCTGATGAGGCGCTTTGTGTTTGCAGATGGCAGTCCTGGAAATCCAGGGTAACGGAGAATCGTCCTACGTGCCCCAGGAGGCCATCAACAGTGCCATCCAGCTGCTGGAGGACCCGCTGCAGAGGGTGAGTGCGGGATCGGTGCTCCACACGCCGCTCKCCCCAAGCCTGCTCCAATGCTGTTTTGGCCTTGCAGGAGTTCATTCAGAAGTGTCTGGAACTGGACCCCGGCAAGCGTCCCACTGCCCGCGAGCTCCTCTTCCACCAGGCGTTGTTTGAGGTGCCGTCGCTGAAGCTCCTGGCAGCTCACTGTATCGTTGGGCATCAGCGTGAGTACCGCATCCCTGTGTCCCGCAGAGCAGCCATAAGCTCCAGCTTTCCATCCTGGGAAGCGAGACATCCCTGCTGGTCTCTGCATGCTGGGGCCGTGCAAAATAGACCTGCAGTTGATGCAAGGGCCTGCAGCTTGCTCTCCTTAGCATCGAAAAGGAGCTGCAGTAGCTCAAGTCTCTCTCTTGTGTTTTGGTTTGTTTTTTTAATAGACATGATTCCTGAAAACGCCTTAGAGGAAATGACCAAAAACCTTGATATGAGTGCAGTGCTGGCTGAGATTAACCATCCCGAAAGAGAAGGAATCAAGATGATGTGAGTACTCTGTAGCTTGTTGGGAGGGGACCCCAGGACAGTGGGGAGAACACTGAAGGATCCCCAGTCTGTCTGGGACTGTCCCCTTCTGTCATTCCTTTCCCAAGAACTGGGTGGGGAGGAAGAAGCCGGCAGTGCTGTTGGTAAAAGTGAGCTTTGCCGTGGAGGAATGCTGTGCACTGATGCTGCGTGAACAGGTTCCAGGCATTTGAGAGGTGAAACACTCCCAGCACAGAGGGCAGGGCTGTTGGGCTGTACCACACTGTGAACATCTTCAGCAAAACGTGGCAGAATGTTTGAGGAGAGGTCCAAGGGCCTTCCCCAAAACGGAGTTTGACACATTAGGTAAAGATTTCRTGAGCTTAAGAGCAGCTCGCTTTACTACATGCAATGGGAGAGACTGCAGTGGGAGAGTCCAGCATCTGAACTGGCTCTTTAGAAAAGCGATCATAACACAGAGGAGAAGCAAGCAAAGTGATCCTGCGTTTCGGATCCTGACACCTCGACTAGCTGGGAGGTTTTCTGGAAAGACTGTGACGTTGTGGGTATCATTCCCAAATGGGGCAGGATGCGTCCAGGGTAGGCCAGTATTCCGGGATGCACAAGGCGACGAGCAAAAGAAATCTGGAAGGCAAAGAGGAAGCCATTACTGACCYGAGAGGCTGTTTGAGCCACAGAGATATCTTCTAAAAACTAGCATTCTGTTCTTCTTAGAGACAGTAATTGATGGTATTGAATTCTCTTTGGGATGGGCTTTTAATTACACGTTCAAAATGGAGGACAAAGAGTGAACAGCCAGAGCTGCAGAGAAGAGTTTCTGTTATCCCAGACTCTGGGGAAATGGTCACCTGGCACCTGCCAGCCGAGCAGGGATCACCTCAGTGCTGGAGGGTGAAATAGGAAGCAGAGCAATAACTTCAAACGTGAAAGGACCTGATTTCCAGATGATTCATCAGAACCCACAGCGTCTGAACGCCTGGCAAAATTGTAAAATCCTGTCTAAAATGTACTGTACTGGAGGATGGGAAGCAAGAGATTTTTTGTGTTTTAAAAGGGGCTGCAGAGCAGTCTGAGGGGTTGAGGTCCATGTGCAGCCTCCACCTGCTGTGCTGGAGCAGTGAAGCTGTCACAAACGTGGCAGGATTTGTGCCATTTTCAGCCTCCTGCTCCTCCCTGAAATTCCTCACAACCTGTGAGACAGTGGTAGAGACGCTCAGCACTCTTGTTGCAACCAGTCTGAACTCAGCTGTGGTCAAGCGGGTGCTGAGCAGCCGCACTTGAGTGTTGACGAGCGGAGGGCTCTGCAGGGCAGCAGTGGGGTCGGGTGGCCGTGGCTCCGCGGGAGGGATGCATCTGCTCCAGCGCTGCCCTTCCCCAACGAGGGGTGCCAAGTAAGGGGAGAAGGGGTAGTGCTGGCCACAAAATGGTGCATTCCCAGCGGGTATCCCCACTGAGCCGGGAGCAGGCAGGTGTGGAGCAGAGCAGACCACTGACCTGAGCGTTTTCACCGCACGGAGAAACCCTTTCCTTGGAAAGGAGAAATAGGAAATAGCGCGTGACAAGTTATGGCAGAGGAGAGAGGGCCAGTGGCTGTTACCCCTCTCGAGCAGCAACAGAGGAGGCGGTTGGTGGAATTACACTGAGAAGCCACAAAGACTCAGCAGACAACATGTAAAGGGAATTACAGGGAGAACAAGAGTGCCCAGAACAGAGTCCCTTGGGCAGGGCATTGAATTCTGAGCTGTTGGTTTTGCAGTTTGTCCAAGGTGAGATGCCTGGACCGCGGTGCCATCTCTGGGGTGCTGCAGAAACTCCTGCCTCTGCAGTGCGCAGGGCCCGCTCTCCTCGCTGGATTCAGTCTAATGATATCCGCAGGTCGCACACTAGGATCCGCTTCCCAAATAGTTGTTTGAATTGAACAACGCTCCCCAGGGGGTGATAGCTGTTTCTGCCATAATAAAAAATGCTCCCTCGCTCCTTAGTGCTGGGAGCAGCTGCTGCTGCATAGGAGGCACGAGCCCATCTCGCTGTGGCTGCCTGCCCCCTCTGTACCCRTGTCCGGAGCCGGCGCAGCCAGTCTCGGACACGGGCTGTGTCCTGTGTGAAATGCAGCCTCCCAGAAGACGCAAGTGCATCGCTGCACGAGCCTATTTCTCACTTCAGTGTTTTCTTTCTTGTAGCTTCTCCCAGTCACCAGCATTGGAGCTGGACAAGTTCCTAGAGGATGTAAGGTAAGAGGCTCTTCTAATGAGCATCCTTGCTGCGTGTGAGAGGGGGGTGACTGAGGAGAGGGTAACTCGAGGGCTCCCCTTTTCCACAGGAACGGCATCTACCCGCTCACGGCTTTTGGGATGCCGCGGCCCCAGCAGCCCCAGCAGGTGGTCGTGAAGTCGCCCATCGTCCCCCCGTCAGTGAAAACCCCAACTCCGGAGCCGGCCGAGGTGGAGACCCGCAAGGTGAGGGGCGGCCGCGGGGCTCCCCACCGCGGCCGAGCGGCCCCGCGGCCCCGCTCACGGGCCTTTCCTCTGCACAGGTGGTGCTGATGCAGTGCAACATCGAGTCGGTGGAGGAGGGAGTCAAGCACCACGTACGTTCCCATGTGCGGGGGTCGGGGGGGGGCTGGGCTCTGCTGCGTCCCTGTCAGGGCCACGGGGTTGGTAGTCCCGAGCTGGCCCCACGGGGCACCCACGCCCAGGGGCCCTTCCTCACCCAGCGCTGCCACTGGCCCCTGTTGGGAGCTGTGGCCTGTGCTCTGGGATGGGGCTCAGGAGGGCGGGCCTCCTGCTGTGACGGAGTTGGGGGCTGCCCCGGTGGCCTGCGCTGCCTGCAGGGCTGCGGCCGCTCACGAGCGCTCCTGTGCTTCCAGTTGACGCTGCTGCTGAAACTGGAAGACAAGTTGAATCGACACTTGAGCTGCGACCTGCAGCCCAGTAAGTAGCCATCCTTGTCCCCTTGCCCTGGGCTGGGCAGCGCTTGCACTTGGCCTTACGCCCTTCCCTGTGTTGCAGATGACAATATCCAGGAGCTGGCAGCCGAGCTGGTCCAGCTTGGCTTCATCAGTGAGGTGAGTGGGGCTGGGGCTGGGTAGGGCTCTGCATTCCTGTTCCCAGGGGCCTCTTCACCCCCGCTAATCCTGTTCTCCCTGCTGAGGGAACTGGAATCGCACGTCCTGCACGGTGGCAGCCTCACAGTGCCGTGTTCTCCGCAGGCTGACCAGAGCAGACTCACCTGTTTACTTGAAGAGGCTTTCAGCAAGTTCTACTACACCCGCAACGGGGCCCTGACGGCCGTCACAGTGTCGTCTTAGCAGCCCTGGGCTCCTGGGCGGCCAGCGCGGCTTTGTTGCCTCTGCCCCCTCCGTGTCTGTCCATCACCGTAGGGCATCCGCAAGCCCCGGCTGCAGCGCTTGGAAGCTCGTCCTGCATGTGCCGTGGCTGGGCCCAGCGACAATCCTCCCTGCCCGCCTATTAAAGGGGACTTTGCGCGTCAGTATTATTTCCAGCCCTGTTTCTGTTGGGTTTCTGCCAGGTGGTGCCGGGGAGCCGGGTCCTGGCGGGGGCTGTTCTGTAGCCCTGTTCATGTGCATGGAGTTTGTTTTGTTTGAATTGTACAAAGTGTCTTTTGCACAGCACATTCTTTTTTTTTTTTATTAAAAGGTAAGCGGGGGGAGGTCGCTAGGCCCCGCCCCCCTGCGCCCCACTCTGCAACGGCCTTGGGCCCCTCACTGTCTCCCCCCACCCCGGGCCGGCGGGCGGGGGGCTGGGCTCGCCCCTGCCCGGAGCTTCGCCCGCCCCCCGCCCCCTGCGCCCGCACTTTGTTTACTGGTTTGCACAGCCCGAGCGCGCGGGCGGGCGCGGCCCGCGGGGCGGCAGCGCGGGGGCCCGTGCGCCCCAGCCCCCGCCCCGCGGACCCCCGGCCCCGCCCGGGGCGCTGCGCGGGGCCCGTCC